GGAGCGGCGCTGCGCTGGTGCCGGTGCTGGTGAGAGGGAGCTGCACCGCGCTGGTGCCGGTGCTGGCGAGAGGGAGCTGCACCGCACGGTGCCGGTGCTGGCGAAGGCGCTGCTGGCGTGGCGAGGAGCGGAGCTCTGTGCAGGAGACGCCGGGCAGCTCGTAGCCAGGACGTGGGTGTTGCGATTTGCTTCTCTTCGAAGGCTGCCTTGCCCCGGGGACACGTTGTGATCGTCCTGGGTGGAAGGTAACGGGTGCCCCTCCGCAGGGCTGTTTTCTCTGCTGTGTCCTCAAGCTGTGCCTGTCACCGCGGTACCTGAAGCCCTTCCCGTTTCGGGGTTATTTTCTCTTCACGTTTAGGGTAAGGTGACGAGCAGGCGGTGGGCTCGCCGGGTGACATCGGGACAGCCGAAATGCGGCAGCGCGGGAGCAGCACAGCCGCAGCCGGGCAGGGTGCAGATCGCGCTGCCAGTCCTGCTTGTTTGCTGGTTTCCCCACTATAACCACAGTCAAATGCTGACTGAATATCAGTGTGGTTACAAAACATTGGGCAAAGCTGAGCTGCCCAGGGCCTGCAAGAGACTTCTGTGAAGTCTGCGAAGCAGGGCACCGCTGTGATCCAAACCGTGTGCTGCTTAGATGCTCGCCGAAGTGCTGGGGGCTGTTCTGTGGTGATAGATGTTGGGCCTTGGTCCTACAGAGGAGTCTTTGCTCTGAGAAATCTGTTTGCTTACAAATTCATAGAAAGTCATTTACCAGTCCTCCTTGATGCTTGTAGTCTTGGAGATGGAGAACGGCGGTGATGAGCTTACGCCAGATGGGTGGTGTTACAGATCCTTCCCGGCCTCGGGAGGGGGCAGGAGGGGCAGAGTTTCCTTCTGCCCCTGGAGCTGGGGTTGACGTTGTACCCCACGTCCCGCTGACCCGGCGGGGGCTGGAGCAAGGCTTGGCTCTCGGGCCACGCCTGTAGTCTTCCCAGGAATCGCCTGTCGCAAACCAAGCTTTGGATTTTTCTGCACTTCTCTAAGTGTCTGCGCTTAGAGCAGTGTATAAACGAGTGGCAAAGCCAGTTAAAAGTCACGAGACTGCGCGTGTGAACGGGCTGCAGGGCGCTTGCTGTCCCTTGGACTGGACACCAGCCGCCAGAGAAGTATTTTGCCGAAGTAAAGTCGTCTCCATCTTCATGCTGGAAATCTTCCCCTTCCAGGGCTGGGGCAGGCGCTGGGCTGCAGCTCCCTCCCGGCTCCTCGCAGTGAGCGGAACCAGCACCTCGCAGTTTCGGTGGTCTGGTGCCTCTCTCAGGAGCTAAAAAAAAATGCTAGTGCTAAAAAACCATGGAGGTGTGCTGGACTCCAGGGAAGTGACATCTCTTTAGATTCCCACTTCAGTTCCTGCATTGTTCATTTTGAGGGCAGCGTGCCTAATTTCCTCAGCTGATTCCAAACGCCGGCTTCCTCGTCACGTGGCCGGGCTGTGGCCTCAGCCGACCTGCTGGCTAGGTCACCGCTGCCCGCTCGATGTTGTTTGCCTTTGTCATATGTAGCTGCTTTAGACTGAAGTTGGAGCAAGGACAGAAGTTCATAGGTC